AAGATGAGAACTGGCGACTTGGTAGTACAACTTTAGTACGCGGAGTATCTGGGGAGTGGGAAGATGAGAACTGGTGACTTGGTAGTACAACATTAGTACGCGGAGTATCCGGGGAGCTGGAAGATGAGAACTGGCGACTTGGTAGTACAACTTGAGTACGCGGAGTATCTGGGGAGCTGGAAGATGATAACTGGCGACTTGGTAGTAGGACTTTAGTACACGGAGCAATCTGTGGAGCTGGAAGATGAGAACTGGCGACTTTGTAGTACAACTTTACTACGCGGAGGCGACTTTCGAGAGGTGAAGAACTTGCAGAAGACAGGTGTTCCTGCGCTTCAGAAAGACATACAGAGAGAGACACATACACACACAGACATAGATACACACACACACAGAGACCCACACACTGCCTCAACACACTCGACTTAACACTTCACACTGAACACTTATAACACACTTAACAGATAACTCGCACTCTGACTTCCTACGTGATGAAAAATGCTCTCGGGCCACTCGTCGTCTAGTTTTTCATCGGTGCCAACCATCGCAGGGAAGTCTTGGAACCCCCCCCCTTGATGCTGGACTTGACACCTTGGTTGATGAAGCACTTGCAGAGGATGGATTGATGACAGCGCAAGAGTTTGTCTCCAAACCTCCCTCCACTGAGCAAACATCTAGAAGCTAAGCATTTGCGGGATTCCTGCTGTGGCTGTGACTCAAACCCTGGACCCGCTGATGAAGAGCCAAGGCAAGGTGTTCCCACTCCTTTTCACATTGTTCACTCCCCAGGTTCCTTTGACTTTTCAGGTTCGGAGGCTTTAGTTTTGACAGATTTCGAGACATGCTCACCTGCAGTTCTGATAATAGGCTTAAGACCTTCCATGAAGGTGGCCCTTCGACGCTTGATGATGGCCTTGCAGGCCAGTCAAAGGGATGGACCGTTGACCCGTGATGGACTGTTTTGTTTCGGGTCGGCAAGGGTGGAGTTTGATGACCCATAGCCATGAGAGTAGCCATGAGCTTCTTCCTTGCATCCAGCACAATTGGAAGACCACGCATTGTAAACGCCTGGAAGTCGTCACTAGCTACATGGACTAAAGGTGACATCATACCGTTGGTGAACGAGTACGCGTCGTGTGAAGCAGACGCCTCGGTTGCGTCTCTTTTGGGTCTCAGGCAGGTCTTGGCAACGAACAGGAGCCTCACTGCACGACCCTTAGGACCTGGAGGCGTATGCGTCCGTTTCATCTCTTGGACCCGGAGGCGTTGGACCCGAACGCGGATCCGTCCAAGAACTGCGGATGCTGCTGTGATGGAACAGTTCGGGTGGGATGGGTAGTAATGCTTCTCTCATGGAAGGGAAGGATGAGTGTTTCTTCGACAAAATGTTTGGGTCCAATTTCGAAAGCTTGCATTTCGGGGGAAACAGCTATATATTTGCGTAGACTTAGACGGTCCAACCATTCCCAACCATCGATGCTTTTTGCATCCTTAGAATCCTTTTTGCATGTGTCCGCGGTCTTCGCGATCTTTCTAGCAAACTCCTCCCTCTCTGTGACGATGCTTCGAGAATGAGAAAAGAAGGTGATCATTTTATTTTGTTTGTTCCGCCTTCACTGCATGTTGGCCCTGGTCGGAGCATTCTCGAACTGCCGCGTTGAGAGCTTTGGATATCTGAGGAGCTGGCTGGTCACCTCAGTCCCCGACGTGCGAGGTGATGTGCCAAACGAGCTGAAGACCGTGCAACAGGTTTCTTGGGGGTTTCGTGAGGGGAGGGCTTGGCATGCACCTTCCATGGTAGAAAGAGCTGTTGGTTCACGACGCAAATCAACAAAATTATACAAAATCAATGGAGGACTAAGACTAAGATGGACTAAAGTATTTGTGGATCCCTTCATGTGATTGGTTGCCGCGCCTTTTCTTTGTTCTCGCAGCGGCTGTGACCACGACGCCAATTTTCCCCGGAAAAGTGAGCCATGAACTACCCCATGTATCTTAAAAGGAGGACCAACCACGAAGCTACTAGGAACAAGTGCATCGCTTCTAGTAACAAGTGCCTTACTAGTAGTAAAAATGTTTGCTAGGAGAAACAAGAAGCTAGAAGCTATTAGTAATTAGAATCAAATTAGAATTGCAAAGTTGATTGGTTTGACCATGTTTGACTCAACCTTGGGCCACGACACCCACGGGTTCGTGGTCCAAGACCACCTTGGGAAGTTTTGGTTCGCACCCAGACGCTTGCAGAATGCAGGTGGTATCCACAAAAATGGACAACGAGGCACTTGTGGGCTGGACAACGAGAGTTGGCGGCCCTGAATTGCCTGCGCGAGCGAGCTGGGGAGAGAGAAATATATACAGTATATATATATATAACATATTGCGGTATTTACGGGTTTGTATGTCCCACCACAGTTCCCATCAAGAGTAAGCAGTGAATTGAGGAATCAAACTTGATGGTGCTGAAAGAGGTGAGCATCCTGTGGTCATGAACAGGTTGATCGTTTTCCTGCACTGTAAAAGTGTAGCATGTTTTCAGCTATCCTGCCACGCCTACAAACCAGGCTGGGGCTTCAGAAAGCGTACGACCACCAAGAGACTGTTTGGTATTGTGATCGACCGTTCCCCTACTAGTAGAGAGACCAGCTGCATGGATCGGATCTTGGAGGATGGGGCAGAAGACCAGCTGCATTTGCAACACCCCAGCAACCACCAGCAAGAAACTACTAGGAACAAGTGCAGCACTAGTAGTTACAAGAAGCCACTAGAAGCTCCTGGCATTACTGGTAGTAACAAGAAGCTACTAGTAGCTCCTGGAATTACTACTACTATGAAGAAGCTACTAGTAGCTCCTGACAGTGCTACTGGGAACAAGAAGCAAGTAGTAACTCCTGGCCTGGCATTACTTCTAGGAACCAGAAACTACTAGTAGCTGGTGGCATTACCAGTAGTAAGTTATCTACTGGCATTAGTACTGGGAATAAGAAGCTACTAGTAGCGCCTTTCACTACTACTAGGAACAAGAAGCTACTATATAGTACCTCCTCGCAATACTAGTAGTAACGAAGCTACTAGTAGCTCCTGGCATTGCAACTAGGAGCAAGAAAATACTAGTAGCTCTTGGCAATACTGCTACTAACAAGAAGCTACAAGTAGCTCCTGGCTTTTCTAGTGGTAACAAGAAGCTGCTGGTAGCTGCTGGCATTACTACTTGGAACAAGAAGCTCCCAGCAGCTTCTCTAGGAACAAGAAGCTACTAGTAGCCCCCAGCATTAACACTAGGAAAACGAAGCTACTAGTAGCTCCTGACATTGCTGCTAGGAACAAAGAGCTACTAGAAGCTCTTGGCAGTACTACTAGGAACAAGAAGCTACTAGAAGCTCCTGGCAGTACTACTAGGAACAAGAGGCTACTAGTAGCTCCTGGCATTACAACTTGGAACAAGAAGCTACTAGTAGCTTTTGGCAATACTACTGGGACCAAAAACACATTAGTAGCTCCTTGCATTACTACTAGGAACAAAGAAACTTGTAGTAAAACAAGAAGCTACTAGTAGCTCCTGACATTACTACTAGGAACAAGAAGCTACTCGTAGCTCCTGGCATGCATTACAGCTAAGAATAAGAAGCTGTTAGTAGCTCCTGGCATCAGTACAGGGAACATGAAACTGCTAGTCGCTCCTGGCATTACTACTAGAAACAAGAAGCTACTAGCAGCTCGTGGCAATACTACTAGGAACAAGAAACTACTATATAGTAGCTCCTAGCACTACTACTAGGAACAAGAAGATATTATTAGCTCCTGTGATTACATTATTACTAGGAACACGAAGGTACTAGTAGTTCCTGGTCCGTCCAGGGTGTTCAAGCTTCGAGGGTTGTATACGGTGAAAGCTTGTGAACGTTTTGACATGCTTTTTTGCACTTGAAGATTAGAAAGAGTGATGCAACTTGCCGAAGGTTATGCATGTCGGGCTCTAGCAGTTCATAGCTTTTACTGCAAGAGGTGTTGGTCTCCACAGAGGAGATTTCCCATGGCCTCTGCAGATGCAGCACCTCATGGAAATGTGAAGCTGAACACCACGGCCAGCATCAACAAGTTTTGATTTGTCGGGTTTAGCCAGGAACACACATTATCCAACTATTTGCGTACTTTTTGCGCGTGTGTATATATATATTCTTTTAGACATGTAATTGCACGCACCCTGATTGTGTGCTTTTATCTTCTTTTGGGGGGAAGACATGTACAGTAATTGCACACACCCTTGATTGTGTGCTTTTGTGTTTGTTTTTGGGCAGGACGGGTTTGGCCCTTCTTGAGGCATCGTTGGACAACCGAGATGTTAGCCTGTTCTGGCCAACCCGAAAATCCAGCGACAAGTCGAGTCTAGCTCGCTTCCAGATGTTTTCCATTTGTGCTATTGCAGGTGCGTAGGTAGGGTTGAGTCACAAGCTATGGCACTATGATTCGACTCTTGGATGTAATGACCTACCGAGCTTGTTTCGTTTCATCCAACTTCCATCGAGCTATTGTCGGGCCGGGCCGTAGTGCTCTCTTGCGACAAAAAACCTGGTCACTTCGAGGAAAGTGGTATGCTACACCATCCCCATGATGGGCCATGCGCTGCCCTTGCTCAGTTTGGCCAAGACCATGGCCCAGCGCGGGCACCAGATGATTTTCGTCTCATCTAAAGGTGCGACGGACAGCCATGGGGCCAGAGAAGGAGAGGATCAAGTTCGCATTGGTTACATGACATACCATGGGGTAGGTGCATCGTTATAGAAGAACATGATCATCACACTGTCATACTCTTGATGTGCTTGTGTATCAAGACCTGGCCTCAACACAGATTGATGTGACATGTATACCTGAAACCAGGCCATTTGGGTGTGAACATGCTCACAGCAACACGACCAGCTCCCACAGCTTCTTTGGAATAACTAGGCTGGATATCTTGTGGAATTTGGACACCGGCGAGCCCCAACCCCCCCCGCAGGTTGGAGACCTGACCCGTGTCAGGTCTATCTCAGATGAACGACTTGTGTAGCGCCGTGAATGTCCACTACGAAGGGCTTGAGGATGGCCTTAGCACTGAGGCGCTCAAAGCCATTCCAGATCCCACGGGCCCTGTGTTTCAGGAATACTTTAAGAAGCATGAGAGCCTTGGTCAAGACGAGAACCATGAAGAAGGTAGACGTGGAAGCCACAATGTTTGTGGTCAACATGTTGGCTTGGCCATGCGACGGCTAGCCATGTTGTAGAGCTCCCTCCTAGGTAGAAACGATATTCCTAAATTGTCCAAACCTATTCTCAGGGAATCACCTTAATTCTTGTGTAATTACCCGATGCTCACCATAAACTTCAACATAATGCCGCTAATAGACACAGCAGGCATGTTGCGCCCAAAAGCGCGAGTTTTGCGGCTTCGTTCCTGTTTTATTTTTTTTTCTCATTGTTCCTGCAAAACGAATCACAAAACGAGAGGACTGTTTACAACAAAACCTGTCAATTCTCCCACAAAACACAGGTCTTCTTGGGGAACGCCGTCAGGCTCGGTGCATTAGTCACACCGATTTCAAAAGGGTTTTTGTAGTACTGGTCACTTGCTCATGTTAAACAATGCCTGCAACTACACGTTCAGTTTCCAACCCGGCGGGATGTTTGTGCACTATGTGGGGTGGCCAAACTTTAATTCGATGTGACTGACGGCGGTTTGATGTTCGAAGCACCAGGCTCCATTTATCACCATCGTGTTCTAGAAGAATCTTCTGTCGTCACATCAGCAACTCATCACCATCGTGCTTTGCTAATCACACAAACGAAACCACCCCACTCCCATGAACCCCCCCTAGAATCTTTTGTCGTCACATCAACAACTCATCATGTTGTATGGTCTCTACATGACATCCACATCCATGGCCACCGAGTAGAAAAGGTTGGATTTAAAGCGTTTGTCAAAATCAGCACCACTACACCTTCGATTTCTGACCCGGTGGCACAAACATGCGCAAACTGTACTACTGGCGGGTTCATGTGAACGTCAACATGACTTACAATTTTCTATGGAGCTTGTTTACTATCTCTCTCTCTATATATATATAAATACGGTACACACATAATGTGACAATTGAAGGTACAATTTATATAGAGAGAGAGGGAGATCTTGAGACCACTTCTTCACCCTCACCCTGCTCTCCAAGGAAGTTCATGTTGGAGCTGTTGGATCGCGAAGCGCCAGATTTGGTGGCGCCTTGGCTGTCCAGCTTTGTTGCACCAGAAGGTGGGGGAAGTTAGTGGTTAGTGGTTTCAGTGTTCAACTAAGCCTGCTGTAAAGACCAGGTTGGGTGACACCGTTGGGTTTGCTAGTTTTAGATAGTTGTGGTGGGTCGTTGGCGGTCGGGAGCTGAAGGCGCGAGGCTCCTTTTAATGGCGTGCGATTGTGAAGGCGTCAGTTTTTTAATGAATGCAACCTGCTGCGACCACCGTCCTGAGAGCATTTGCTCTCTATCAAGCCTTCATGTATTAATATTAGCATATATAACTCAACTCCATCCAGCTCCCATTTCACTGGCTCCCGACCCTTTCAACATGATCTTTGCACCGGTGCTTCAGGTGAGCTCCATACCAGGGCACAATTCACGACATCAGGATATGTCGGGAACCCCCAAATAAACCAATTTAGTAAACCATAGTAAACCCTTTCTTTTTGTTGCGAAGATCGCGGGTTGTGCCGTTTCGGAACAAACCCCGAGCGCCTCAGAGCCGGCCGGAAAGTCTTGCGTCGATCAGTTGGCGGACTATGCCAGTGGCGCTGCGATCACTGCTGCCAGAGCAAAGAAAACTCTGTTGGTGTTGAACATGGCCCTTCCTGGCACGCTAGCCCCTCGAACTGGGGTCGACGCGACTGATTTTTGTTGTGCATATTTCACTGGTGGAGGAGCACATGGAAGATATACTGTAGACTAGACTAGACCATGCCATGAAATGGTTCCGGAACAGACGGGTTGGCTGACAGTATGGGCCGTACGGCTGGTTGAATTTTTCCTTTCAACAGACTAGCCCAATCGGGGTTGGCTGCCGGTCACCAGTGGGTCTTCGTAATGTTGACACATACGGGTCCTCTGAACAACCGGCCGATTCATACTTTTGAATACTGTTGACCAATCTGAATTGCCGATTCATACGTTTGAATACTGTTGACCAATCTGAATTGAATTTTGCATCATGAACTACAGCGGGCGATATTACTGCGGGCCCGAAGTCATAAACAGCTAAATACCC